AAAAAAAAAAAAAGAAGTTACTGCTAATGATAGTATCTTCTTGGGTTTTTTTTTTTTTGCATGTGTGTATGTCTGTAAAAATAAGAATACAGTCTTTATTCAACTGTCAAAACACACAAACACCCAGGCCTGCTGTGCCAGCCCCGCCCCCAGGGCACGCCGAGATGCAATTGAAACTGGGCATGGGGTTGCACACCTGTAATCCCAGCTCTTGAGAGACTGTAAACAGGCAGATCACTATGAGTTCAAACTAGTAGTGAGACCGTGAATACCCTGTAAACTGTTCCCTAAAATAAAAAAAAATAAAAAAAAAGAAAAGAAAAAAAACAACAAACAAACAAACTCAAAAAAACCCTACAAACTTTTGTGGCCATCAATAGAAATATAACAGAAATATAGGAAATTCAAAGGAAGTATGGAATTTGCTTTCTGACTTCAAGGAGTTTCCAGGTTGGTTGGAAAAGCTGTATGAAATCCAAGTTTAAAAAGTTCACTGAAAAGGACCATAGAAAATAATGACATCATGAAAAATAGAGACAGAGGGAAGTATTTTTTCTTCCTTCAGAAGAGTACAGTATGGGATATACTAATGTAAAATGGTTCACTAATTACGTATATTTATGTGAATATTTTTGAATGTCCAGTCTTCCAAAGAATAAAGGAAAGCTCTCAAAAAAAAAATGGGATTTCCAGTCCAACTTTTCCAAAGAGTCTCCACACTGATTGCCATAATGGTTGCAACAGTCTACATTACCACCAGCAGAGCCTTTTTACCCACAGCCTCTCCAACATTTGTTGTTGGGGGATTTCTTTAACGATAGCCATTCTTTCTGGGGAGAGATGATATCTCAATGTTGTTTAATATGCATTTTATGGATAGCTAGTGATGTGGAGCATTTTTTCATATATTTATTCGCTTCTTTAATCTCATCCTCTGAGAAGTGTGTGCCCATCTAGGATGCCCATTTCTGGACTGGGTCTTTAAATTTTGGGCCCTAGTGTTTTTTAGTTCTTTACAAATTCTAGAGAGCAGAACTTTGTCTGAGTACTTATTTGTCATGATTTTTTCCAAATTTGTGGGTTGTCTTTTCACTTTGTTGGTAATTTATTTTGATGTGCAAACACTTCTCAATAAGAGCATGTCCCAGTTGTTAATTCTTTTAAGTGTTACCCACCTGATTTGATTTTTGTTCATGAACTCTTTCCATACCCCTATGTCTTCAATAGTTCCTCCTACTTTCTCTTCCAGGAGATTTAGTGTTTCTGTTTTAATGTTTAGATCTTTAATCTCTTTTGACTTTAGTTTAGTGTATGGTGATAGACCTGGGTCAAGTTTGAGTTTTCAGCATGTAGAGAGCCAGTTTTTCCACACCATATGTTAAAGAGGCTATCTTTCTTCCAGTGAGTATGTTTGGCCCCTTTGTCAAAGATAAGGTGGCGGAGTGTATTCGTAGAGGCTTCAGCAGCTTCTAATCTATTCCATTGATCCTCAGGTCTATGTTGTTGCCAGCACCATGCTGATTTTATCACAGTAGCCTTGTAGTATAATTTCAAGTCAGGAATTGTAATGCCTTCTGCCCTGTCTTTATTGCCCAGGATTGCCTTTGCTATTCTTGGTCTTTTCTTGTTCCAAATAAATTTTACTAATGATTTCTCTAGCTCTGTGAGGTATGTTGGTGGTAGTTTCATAGGAATTGCA